AGTGAACCAAAAAGAAAGCACCAAACATACCTCATAGCCACAGAGAACAGAATGGTGGTCACCAGGGGAGAGGGAGGAGAGGAAGAGGGGGTCAAGTATATGGAGGCGGAGGAAACCAGACTTCTTGGTGAGGACACAATAGAGAATACAGATGTTTATTATAAAGTCGTACAGTTGAAATTTATATAATGTTATTAACCAATGTTACCTCAACAATTTTTAAAATATATTTTTATTGATTTTATAGAGGCAGGGTGGAGAGAGAGAGAGAATATCAGTGATGAGTGAGCCACGCCGGCCAGGCTTATCTCAATAAATGTAATTTTAAAAGTGAGTTTGCCAGGCAGAGAGATGGAGAAACGGTACGTGGAAGAGGCACAGTCAGAACAATTGCAGCAAATGCAGCAAGTGTATGTGTTCAGGGAATCCGGCAGGGTCTCTGGCGGCTGGATCAGAGAGGGTGGGAATGGGAGGAGGGGAGCCACCAAGATGTGAGTCTGGAAGGAGAGACAGAGTCAAGATTGCCCTCTGAGTCCGCCCTTCTTTGTATCTCAAGTTCAAGGTCAAAGGCCTCTTGCACACCTGCCAGTGGGTTAGTAATGAGATGGGAGGGAATGGCACCATCCCCTCTCCTAGCACCCACTTTAAAAGTATGAGCTCTAACCCGTATGTTCCAGCTCAGCCACGTTTTCAAGGTGAACGGGGAGTGAACAAGAGGACAGAGAGGAGCAGGCTGGAGACCGAGGACAGAGGCCGAAATCCAGGCCTGCGGGAACCCAGGCGCCGGCTTCTCCGCCTTCACGCCCTTCGCAGGATCTCCGTCACCCTCCACCTCACTCTGCTCCCAAACAGAACATACTGGAGGAGGGCTTTGGGCATCTGAGAGTGAAAGAACGGAGAAGCAGATGAGCAGCAAATACCAAGAATCCCATCAACGGCTTGAATTTAAAAGGAGCAAATTAGCTTTGCACTGTGCTTGTGGCCGGCGGAGTTTGAGCAGTCAAGCCATATGTATTCAGAAACAGGGTTCCTGTTGCTTTAGAATTGTGTTCCTCATCCGTGTGTCCACCGTGGAGGAGCAGGCAGTCCTGTGGGGCTGGAGGGATAAGACCCTGGCATGGGTGTTGTGATGGCGCCAGCGCACGGTCAGGAGAAAGCTCCCCTTCTGTCCCGAACGCCGAGGAGGCGTCCCTCTCTAAGCTGCCCGTGCGTGTGGGATAGTCACTGGATAAAACATCTGTCCGGATCCTTCAGTTTCCTGGCTCCCGGGGCAACTCCGTGTACAGGGGTTTCCCCAGGTCCTTTCTTTAGCATTCATTTTCTTTGGCTTGGATTTCAGAGGCCAAACTCAGTCCCTTAGATAAATATTCAGGCCACTGTTTAAAATAAACCCTCCGTTATTTATTTATCATGCCTGTTATTGAGAAAGCGACAAGAATAAGTCCAAGTGGAAACCATGTGTTGTGTCGGAAGATAAATCTGCGAGAACCTGCACAGTCCAAGGACACAGTGTTTTAGAGTTAGCCACCCTCCGCACATCCGTGGCACAAGAGTGATTCGTGCCAGACACGCCCAGGTCAACAGCCATGTTGTCAAGGCGTGCACGCAGGCGTACCCTTGGAACTCTAGGGACTCATTACATTGTGCCTCACCCATGTTCCTCTTTCTTTTTTCCCCTTAACACATTGTTTGCGGGTAGTTTTTATCGCGCACTAACAGGTGGCACGGGCCATTTTTGCTAACTTTTTGCGCAAATGGCAACGTTCAGTAAAATTACGATAACTTTAGTTTACGTATTTATACGTTACCCGCATTCTACCGCTAGTCTATAAAAAACGTATTAATATGTGTCCCGCGCTCTACTGCACTGGTAGAATGTATAAATACGTAAAACGTGTAAACACGTTTCCCGCATACAATGTGTTAAACGTGTTTTTTTTTAAATTATTGTTATTAATTTCAGAGAGGAAAGGAAAGGAAGAGAGAGATAGAGAAATCAATGATGAGAGGGAATCATTGATTGGCTGCCTCCTGCACGCCCCCCACTGGGGACTGAGCCCACAACCTAGGCATGTGCCCTTGATCAGAATCGAACCCGGGACCCTTTAGTCCGCAGGCTGCCGCTCTAACCACTGAGCAAAACCCGCTAGGGCAAAAGTGTTTTTAACCCAAAGGAACACTCCCTTATAGATTTTATGTTCTATTACATTTACGTTCTTTAAGATTCTAGTTTACAATGATTGTATCAGCATTTACTAATCAGGGAAAAAAGTTTGACTCAGAAAAATAGGACTAAATCCCAGAAAGAAGGGTTGGAGAAGGAAGTGCCTAGGACTTGGTAGTAAAGGAATTCTTGTAATCCTTCCCCGGGGTCTTGGAAGGTCAGATAAAGCAGACTAGAGCTGGTTTAGAGGAAAATGAATCATCTTGGGGGCTGGGGGGACTTCATAGTATTTCTTGACACTGTTTCAGTTTTATGGTCCTGCCTTCCATCTGAAGTTCTAGACCTCAAGTTGAACAAAAATCTTTCTTTGGAAACACTGTGTGCGTACATGCGAATCGCCATTAGCACCGTGAATTTAATACTGAATTCAAACCAGACTCTGCAGCGCATATGGTGATGCTGAAACGGGTGTCATGATGCAGTGGTCTCCTGAGTCGGAGAGAAATAGAGCGAGTTGAGTTGTAAGTTAGGTGTCTGTCGCCCTCAGGAAGGCAACCGCTCGCTGATGGTCTGCTGCTTATGGGAGCATCGGAAAACATAGCGGGCCCGAGGGTTTAACTACACGCACATGATGAAGCGGCTGGCGGTGTTTGATCCTGCTGCGTTGATGTTTACCTCTGAAATACTTATGAAGACTAGCATTTCCCAAGAAAACTGGTAAATTTGTTTAGATGTCCAGAAATCAGAAGCACTCTCAGATTTTCCATAAAGTCCCTAAAATCCATCAGATTATCCCTTCCAATTAACCAGTACATTTCCTTTTTTTTTTTTTTTTTGATGGAAATACTGCTCTAAGAATGCAAAAGTAATAAAACGTATTTGCTAATGCCCACTTTACGTCTGGCTAGGCTTCTGTCACACTCGTGTAGGTCTGGCCAACTGGTGGTTATTTCTCATATTTTTGAACAAGTAAGCTGTCATTTCAAGGAGGGAAGCGAGGAGCCTGTGGTTTATGCCAGCGGTGTTTTAAAATGTTTCTTAACTGGGACAGTCAGACTGTTTTGAGGAAACATTTCATTGGTGTCAAACAGAAAAGGTCACCTGATCTTTAGTTCAAGGACTTCTCGCACGATCTCCGTGGGCAAGTCCTTTTGCTACTTTAACCGCACCTTCTCCTGGGCCGGTCATTCTCGCCGACGGCTCTCGATTTTTTCTTGACGGGGCTGAGTGCATTGTCCCCTGGGCCCCAGTCACCTCCTGTGTCAGGACTGCCAGCACGGTGCAGGGAAAGCAGGCTGTTCTAGACGTTGTGTTGCGGGCATCAGCTCTTGGCATTGACGCCAGGTATTTCCAGTGGAAAAGGATGGGCCTGGCCTGGGGACCCAGCTCTGCTGTTCCCGTGGCTGTGTGACCAGGGGCCCGTGATCGAGCCTTTTCGATCCCTAGTTTTCTCTCTCTGTTTGGAGGTAATGCCTGTCCGTTGGGCACGGGAGCTGTGAGAAAGACATGAGATCACGCAGGTTAAGCGCCTGGCGTTAATAACCAACCATTATTTTATTGTCCGAAACGTGTTCCGTTTGGCTTGCTGATTGTTTTCTGTACTGAAACGAAACAATGAACTCTTCTTTCCAAACATTATCTGTGATGACCCGCATTCCATTTCTGGGCAACATGCTCCTGAGTCTGTCCAAAGCTGCTGGGTGTTCACAGCGCTGGGCCCCCGAGCGCTCCCGGGCCCGACCAGCATCGCCCCCCCTCTCCCTTGTTTTGTGTGTTTTTGACGCGAGGGTCAGCATCCTCCTGCGCTGCTCTTCCTTGGAAAATTCTCTTGGGCTAGTGTCAACCCCGTTGTCCTTAGCAAGTCACACGTTGAGCTTTTACCGCGTGTCCTTACGTTATTTTCTTCCGTCTCACTCCCTCCTGCCTCCTGCCTCTGACCCGAGCCTGCCTTCTGCCAGCTGCCATAGTGCATCCCATTGTGATTTTCCCGGTAACTCCTTCCCCGTTGGGTGCACAGGGCCGGGCCAAACTGTGCCC